GGAACACCTGCGCCGGCTGCAGGGGCGGCGACGGGGGCGTCATCTATGGAGGTGGCAGCGGGATTGGCCGGCGGAGCTGGCGGCGGTGTTGGCGGCGGCGACGGCGGTGGCGACGGCGGCGCAACTAGCGGCACCGCGAGCGGTCCAGGAGTTGCTGGAGGTGCTGTGGGACACTTTGGGACGCCCGTGCCGTCGTCACGTGCACGTGAGCTGGCTGGCGGCGGCGGCGGCAGCGGCGGCGGCGGTGGTGGCGGCACCGGCGGCGGCGGCGGCGGTGGCGGTGAGCTCACATTCCCAGCTGCGCCTCTGTCATCCCGTACCACTACCCACCCCCCGCAAGCAAGCAGTGTTATAATGCAATGTTCATCCCGTGTCACATACACACATACACACAGACACACAGACACACAGACACACAGACACACAGACACACAGACACACAGACACACAGACACACAGACACACAGACACACAGACACACAGACACACAGACACACATACACACAGACACACATACACACAGACATACACACAGACACACAGACACAACACACACACATGCCCCACGGAGCTTAAGTGCTGCCGCCACAAACAAACCCCCCCACCGGCAGAAAACCCAATATTCCCCTGTCCCGGCTCACGTGTGTGGATGTATGTATACATGTATGTATGTATGTATGTCCCAACCCCCACTGGATGCTCTGCTGTTGAACGCGCACCGGATGTGGAGCCCGCGGCGGCGCCGGTGGCGGCGGCGGCGGCGGCGGTGACGAGGGCAACGAGGGAGGCGGCCATGGTCCCGTCAAGCGTCCTCACGCCATTTCCTGGCCGGTTTGGATCGGTGCTACAGCCATTCTGGCGCTCTTCACCGCAATCACCATTGCCAGCCACCTCTCCGGCTTCATCTCCCTGGTGACGTCAGCAGTAGCTGGTTTCGGAATCAGTAGCGCCAACCGCCGCATCGCGTCCGCGATGGCCCATGGGTCGCTTGCCGCTCCGGCTGAGCCGTCCGAGCGCCGAAGGGGCCTTGGCAGCGGTGACGAGGAGGGGAAGGCGGCAGAGGGAGAAGGTGACGGGGACGCGGAGGAGAGGAAGAGGGATGCAGAGACGGAGGCGCGTCTGGCGGAACGTACGGCAGAGCGAGCGGCGACGGCGGCGGCGACGGCAGCGGTGGCAGCGGCGGTGGCCCAGTTTGGCGGTCCCGGGGCGCAGCTGAGTGCTCTGCAAGCCGCCAGACGGGCCGCGGACATCGCAACTGAAGAGTGAGTGGGGACTGCGTGTGTGTGGTGGCAGTGTGTGTGTCTGTATGTATGTATGTATGTATATATGTGTGGGTGCCTTAACGATCTGAGCTGCTACGTGAGGCATTGTCGGTGGTGGCGTGGCGTGGCGTGGGGTGGGGTGGGGTGTGGAGTGTCGCCGTGTGCGGTCTCCATGACTCGCCTGGTCACATCTCGCTCCGTGCCCAGCTCCTCCTCCACAGGCCAGGCGGCCCGTCCCCCCCCGCCTGATCGATGTAGCAGTGGCAGCCGCTTTGAAGTTCGGACTTCAGAGGGGGTGATCCCCTGAGCCCCCCCTGGGTTTTGCATTTAATAATGAGGAAAAGCTACTGAGGAAAAGCTTCCACAATGTACCGACACACACATATACACATACATACACACACACGCAAAGCTATCACCCCCAGCTATCGCGTCATATAACTGTAGCCCCTCGGCAAGGGGTGTGCGTACGGGAGACTGGGGCTAGAATGATGCTTCATCACATATCAACAACAACAACAACATCATCATCATCAACAACAAGGCCACGCATGACGACATGACCCCATGGTGGCGGCCGCTAACACGTCCCGAGGGCCCCCTGCTGCCGCTGTGCCGCTGTGCCGCTGTGCCGCTGTGCCGCTGTGCCGCTGTGCCGCTGTGCCGCTGTGCTGCTGTGCCGCTGTGCCGCTGTGCTGCTGTGCCGCTGTGCTGCTGTGCCGCTGTGCTGCTGGCGCCCTTCCCCCGCCGTCTCCCCCCCTTCTTGTTCCCTCTCCGCCCCGCACCCCCCTCCGCCCCTTTGCGGCCCCTTCTCCGCAGGCAGGAGGACCGGCAGCGGCACCGGCAGCAGCAGCGGCGGGGGGCGGCCGGCGCCGAGAACCTCTCCAACGCCGGCGGCAGCGGCGGCGGCACCACCAGCCCTGTTCCAGCCGCCGACGGTGGCGGTGCGTCTCACGATGACGGCGGTAGCGGTGCTCCTGGCGGCGCAGCTGTGTCGCATACGGGTGAGAGGGAGGGGGGCTAAGGGGGAGCGTACGGCGATTTATCGTCGTCGTCACTATGTCCGATTTATGCTCCGGTTACAGGCTCCCGTGATCACCACATGGGTTGAATGTCTTCTCCTCCTGTCACCAGCCCCCCCGCCGCCGCCACCGCCGCCGCCACCGCCGTACTTCGACCCACCCCAACCCTCCATCACCCCACCTCATCCACGAGCCTCTAGGCCTCCGGGCCTCACGACCTCTCAAGCTTGTAACATCATACATACATACATACACCCACACACCTCACACACCCCACATACACCCCCCCACACACACCACCCACACACACCCCCACACACACACCCCCACACACACCACGCACAGGTGAGTATCTTCTAAAGCTCCACGAAGGCAATGGCGGCTGGCAGCAGCAGCAGCAGCAACAGGAACAGGAACAGGAACAAGTGATGCCGTTCCAAGGAGGTGGCGAGGCTGCCGAAGACGGTTTCAATGGCGGTGCCGCCGCCGCCGCCGTACCACCTGCCCACCCAGCCGTCAGCCATAGCTCCGTCAGGGGTACCGGCGGCGGCGGTGCCAAGTTACTGCACGGGGAGGATGCTGACGGAGGCGCTGCTAGCGGCGGCAGCGGCGGCTTCTGGGGTTTAGCCTGGCTCGTTGGTCGCAAGCGTGGTGGCAGCGGCGGCAGCGGCGGCGGCGGCGCAACCGACGGCGGCGGCGGCGGCGCTGCAGCGGCAGAGGAATCGACCGCGCTGGGTGCGGCGTCTGGGGGTAGGAGAGGCACGGGGATGGGCCGTGGCGGGCTGACGGAGGCGCAGGATGCCTTGCTGCACGGCAATATGGAGTGGGATACGGCAGCGGCGGTGGAAAAGGGAGGGACGTCGGCCCTGGGACGAGGTAAAGGACTGGTACGGCGACTGGTAGCTGGCGTCGGTGGAGCCGTACGCGGTACGGCCCGCAGCCTGGGTTCGTGGCGCTTCCGCAAAGGCACTGGTACCGGCGGTGGGGTTGAGTACGGCGGCGGCGGCGGCGGCGGTGGTGGATTGGAGACCCTCGAGAAGGCAAAGTCCGCTGGCGCCGCCGACGTAACCGTTACGGAGACCGCAAGATCTGAAGTGTTGGGGCACCACCTCGTGCAACTTGATGACGTTGACGGCGGCGGCGGCGGCGGCGACTACGACAGCACCGGCGGGCGCCGTACCCTGGACCGGTCCCAGCTGGCGTCTGACGCCAAGCTGGCGGCGGCAGTGGCGCTGACGGTGTGGTCGGTGATGGTGCCATTTATGCGGCGACAGTGGCAGCGGCGAACGACCCGTGGGTCGGTCGAGCCTCCACCACCGCCGCCGGGGAAGGCGACGGCGGCGGGTGATGAGGCGATTGCTGCAAACTTGAGTTGGGGGAGCAGCGCCTCGGCGGCCGCCGCACCTCCCCCCGCCTCGGCGGCGGACTACCCGGTTGCGAGGAACCCTTGAAGGCGGCCCCAGCTGACTCAGCTTTAAAACAGAACGCATTGAAACAAATGCAAAAATGATTGACGGACACATCTTTTCGTTTGGTTTCAGTACTTTGTATGTGTGCGTATGTGTGTTTGTGTGCGTATGTGTGTACATATGTGGCGGTAGCAGTGTGTGTTCTTGGGGCAGTGTTAGAGCCCCTGTCACGATGGAAGGGAGGGAGGGGGGTACGGAAGTTGCATGTCAAAACGTTTGGTAATCCCACCTTTATGGTGGGGGATACGATATACGGTGTTGCGTCGTTGCGCGATACTGTTGTCGCACCACGTTGTGTGCTGCTGCAGCAGCAGCAGCAGTAGCAGTAGCAGTACCCGCAGCAGCCAGCAGTAGCAGCAGTCAGCAGTAGTCAGCAGTAGCCAGCAGTAGCAGCAGTAGCAGCAGTAGCACTGGGGACCGGAAGGCCGCTTTGAGCGCCTCTGTTTTGGCAGTGAGGGGGCCGTTTGGGGAGAGGGGGCTTTAGGGCTTCCTGCGTATGCGAGTTCGTTGTATTGCAAGTTCAAGCGTATCATATGCGTATATGGAGGACGAGTTGATTTGGATATATGCCCTGTTAATGTCGAATGATTGGTGGGAGGTTGACTGCGCGAGATGATGTTTTTCGACGATTGCCCGGTGACATACCCCGGGGAGTATTCACAGCGTCTTCCGACCGACGGCGCCCCCTCCCGCGCAACTCGATCGACCCCCTCGAGCAACACACAGAAGAAGGGCCACTGAGGACAGCAGCGACAGCAGCTACAGCAGCGAGACGTAGCAGTAGCAGCGACAGCAGCGAGACGTAGCAGTAGCAGCAGCAGCAATAGCAGTAGGTGTGTGGATGTGGATGTGGAGTAAAATCAGTGCTGCGGTGCTGTGGCCCCCCCCGGCCTCCTCTCTCCCCGCCTCCCCCTCTCCTCCCTACTCCGTCTGCCCGGTCCTGCTCCCTCCCTCTCCCCTTCCGCACTTTTAGCCGCCATCTTCCTCAGTGCTTTATTGTAAGGGAAAGAGCCATCAGCAGCACCAGACGTTGCAGCAACAACAGCAGCACCAGCCGCTCCAGCACCACAGCAGTGCAAGCGACGTAATTGACGCGCACAGCTAAGTGTCACCAATGTATACGCTCTCCCAACTCATGTTCTCCCATAACCTCGGGGCAAAGGCTTTGGCAACCAGGTCTTCGAGGTGGAACCGTACATACGTGAGCCGTACTTATAGCCATACAACTTCTTACATTTTTGCGCGGTCTTCTCTATATTGGATGAAATGCTTTCAGGCAATGATGCGACGCTTATAACATTACTTGCACGTCAGCATGTCGCCTGAGAACCAGAACTTTTTGGAAAAACCAAAGTGACAAACTACCAGTTCGCAACGAGCAACCAAGACGAGCCATGCAATTATCAACACTTGCATATACCTGCGGCTGTTAGTCGTGAGCCTTACTATTCGAATATTGGAACGCAACGTGTACAACTGCGGCTACCGACATGACTGCTTCCGGCTCGCCTAGGCTGCAACATTTGCCATCATTTCAGCGGTTCCTAATTAGTCAGCCATCAATACACGCCAGCCTTTTTGAAGATAAGGTGCGGCTTTGCAGGCTTCAAGGTTGTGTGCCGGGTCGTTACCGTTATCCGGTCAGAAGCATCCGACAACTGCTGGATCAGAATACGGGCAGAGGCAGGACACATCGTGAGCTGCTTGACGATCGATTACAATCAGTGATTTGTGTTGCGGAGCAGGTGTTCAGCCACGACGACTGGCGCAAGCATCGGAGCGCCGCATGGCGACATCGCATTGAGCCCTTTGTCTTGTAAGGAAACGCCGCCTCAGTCGCACTGGTTTGACGCACCCTTCGGTTCCTGGATGAGATTATGATTAATCTTTTGAAAACCGCTCAATTTCGAACCCAAGTGGCGACCTAGCTTGTGCACTACAAACGCAAAAAAGGTTTTTCGCTCCTTTTTTCCTCCTCCTCGCGTTTTAACACACCTCACACCTTCGCTGCAGCTCTTCCGTACTTGTCTCCCAATGCACCTTCAAACCCCCGTATCACTCATACATAAGATTAAACAAAACACAGAGACACTCCTCCGCGACCTCCCATCTGGGTTTTTTCCACCTTTTTTTGTTTTTGCCAACCCCCTTCAGCCCCTGAATACAAAATAAACCTAAAACCCTCAACCGGCACCAACTGGCAACCAACCGAAACCTCCTTTTCCCACATCTCTCTCCCATAGCTTCCGAGTGGCAATCGGCTTCTTCTGGCAGCTGGCCCTGGTGGTGGTGATTTCGGTGGTGGTGGGCCTCCTGCACACCCTTTTGGTAGGCTCCCCGCATGACCCGTGGGTCGTTATGCCAGCGTGGATGGCTCGGTTTCTGCATCCTAGAGGGCCGACATTTCGAGAAGTTACAAATCTTGAGGGCGGGAGGGCCGCCTTTCCTCCTCTTGCGTGCCGATGATGATTCCACACCTCCGCACCGCCTGCACCACCCGCACCTATCTGCCAGCCTCTGGGCGCTGAGAACACAACACCGAAAGTGCCGCAGCCGCTTTTCCAAAAACACACACACACACACACACACACACACACACACACACACACACACACACACACACACACACACACACACACACACACACACACACTCTCTCTCACACACAATCGCGTTCAGGTCACCCGGTACTACGCCTCCACCCACCATTCTCAGCCTTCACCGCCAAACACGCACATGCACACATGCACACATGCACACACACCCCTCTTTTTGCACCATCTGATTTCCCCCTCCCCCCCCCCGTCCCACACACACACACATGCGCACCCCGAAACCCCGGGTGCAGAGGGACCGCGACCAGGCCCTCTCCAGTTCCAGACTGTCCACCCCCTTCACGTGAGACAAAGAAAAGCACACACGTGTGTATGTCGTACAGCGGACAGACGTGCGGGTGTATGTGGTCCTGGTTGCAGTAATGGTAATTAAACGGTGTGATTTTAGGGGTGTCCCGTGTGTGTGTATGTGTGTGTATGTGTGTCTGCCTCTCTCGAACTCCGCACCGGACGAGAGACACCGTTCTCACGACAGAGTACGGAAGTACGGACATGGACACGGGGTCTAGAATCCTTACATCGTGCAGATGCATTTTCGTGCTTTGGTGGTTTAGATTCGATCGGTTGTGTCGTCGGTTTGGTTGTTGTCAACGAACTGCCTTCTGTCGTTCAGCCTCCGCCCCCGGCCCGATGTTTGCTCTTCCCCCGCCCGCCTCCTCAGTCACATGGCATCGGACTGCGGCTGCAGTCCGCGTGTCGGCAACTCCTGTCCTTAGCCTGTATGACTCTCCCCCCTCCCTGTCCCTCGCCCCTCACACCCCCCGCTGGGCACTCCAACGGCCCAGGATGATCACTTTTGCGCTGTCGCTGCTGCTGGTTTTCAAAACCAACTCGTCGTACAGTCGTTGGTGGGAGGGACGTATCATCTGGGGCCAGGTGGGTTTCGAAACCCCGATGGAACTTAGAGAAGCCAACGGTGCTCTAAACGCTTTTTTACTGTCGTACGACACTGTCACACTGGCGTGTGTGTGTGTGTGTGTATTTGGGGCGAGGGGGGTTTTGACAAAGGTGGAGGTGGAGATGGCCCGCGTGGGGGCTTGAAGTGCTCCGGGCAGCAGAGCGTGATCCCAATCCCAGCAGAAGCGGGATGTACGGACGCCCATGCGCACAGAGCAGGGCCCCGGGTCAAATGTACGGCAGGAGAAAGGGTTGCTTAAATTGCGCTTTGATGCCGCCCGTTAAGCTGCTACTCGTGCTTGCGGCCTGTTGCCGTCTTTCTCCTCATTGCCGAACTGTCGTACACACGTGGATGGGTGGCACGTGAAGGGCGCCGCTGCCCCGCCTGCCGGGGCCTCGCCGGGGTTTCCGTGTCCCGGGGTTTGCTCGTACACTTACCTCCCACTTAACCCCCCGGCTCTCCTGGCCCCCTTTCCCCTCCTCCTTCCCCTTCCCTGGGGTCTTGTACGACGTCCGTCTTAATTGGTCCGTACTTTCACATGCCGTTCATGACGGGGCCGGGATGACGTCATCACCGCTACAGGTGGTCAATTTTGGCCGTAACTACGCTCGCCAGGTGGGGGCCACACACGCGTGTGCGTGAGCGTGTGTGTTTTAATGATGTGACACGCGAGATTCGCGCCCATGTGTGCATGTGTCTGTTTGTGTGTGTTTTGTTACGCGTTTCAGTGTCTTTGTACTGCCGTAGCACATGTCTATGTTGTCACATGTCAATGCTGCTGCCGCAATCTTGATGCATGCCCCTTATGTTGCCTGATCAGGCTCTCATGTGGTTCCCCGCGAACCGGCCCGAGCTGCGAGCCGCGGCCATTCGTTGGGCAGTCGCGGCTCCACGGGTGCTGCTGGCGCACCTTCGAGAAGATACGGACTTAGCGGCTGAGGTGCGATTCGGATTAGTGTACTGTACTGTACTGTACTGTACTGTAGTGTACTGTACTGTACTGTACTGTGCTGGTCTCGAATAATAATTAAGAATATAAATTTAAATTTGAATGCTTTGTCAACTTGATACGCCATCCGTTATGACCCTGGAAAAGTATATACCATAATTTGGTAGCGTTGCTCTATATGTTGTGTACACACCTTAACTTTCCATCCCGACCAGAAGCAGAGCCTGATACGCCACAACATCGCGACCTTTTCGGATTTTTTAAACGACATCCAGGTTACACCACAACCACAAAAAACACCCACAGGACATAATTTCCCCCCCCCCCCACACACACACACACACATACATACACATACACGAGAGAACGTATCCATCTTACCTTTCACACTCTTCCGGTGGTGGTTGGATGACGTGGATTCGCAGGTACGGAGCATTCTAATGGCGGAAGAGGTACGCGGTACTGAGTACGGGGGCAACGGTTTGTACGGTATGAAATTGGCTTGGATGATATGGGCTGTTCAACGCAACAACCCTCCCCCCGCACGCCGGTTATAGCCCACACCCAGCCTGATTGCTTATCTTTCCACCCCCACCCCCACCGTGTTTAAAAATCTGAGCAGGTTGCTCTCTCGAAGCAGCTTGCAGATGTCGCACAAGAGTGGCTTTATCGCTCACCCTCATGACTTTGTCTCCGTGTCTCACTGGTATGTCTGTCTGTCTGTCTGTCTGTCTACCTGTCCATCAGGTGGACTGGTTATTGCGGTGGTCCAACGCCCCTCTCGGTGCGGGTACGGCGCTAGGGCAGTTGGTGGTGGCGGCTGAGTTGTCGGAGCAGCTGCAGGCGGAGATACAGAAGCAGGTGGGAGAGGGGGGGGGAGAGGGGGAGGGGGAGGTGAGTGAGTGGGTATCGACTTCCAGGGGGAGTTTGAGGGAGGGAGGGAGGGAGGGAGGGAGGAAGGGAGGGAGGGAGGGAGGGAGGGAGAGAGGATGCGCAGGAGGGAGGAGAACTTAATGCCCGTACTTCAGCCCCTTGGAGCCTCCCGCCCCACTTCCCCGCTCCCGGTGTTTTCCTCCTTTTCCTCTCCCCCTCTTTTCCCCCCTTTCCCCCGGGGTCCCGTGTTTCGATTGGCGGCTCTACGAAGGTGGAGCTCTACACCAACTGCGCGGGCGGCTGTGAGAGGATCTTCAAGACGCCCATACCGCCTGCATATGCCCGGTAGGTGGGGGGCGCTTCGGGGGGTTGGAGGCGGCGCGGCATCAAGCAAGAGCGCGCGCCAGGATGACCTTCGGGAGTCTGGAAAATTGGAGTTACGGTGGGAACCATTTTTTACTTTAAAAATTTGTCAGCAAACATCATGAAGCCGGGGGCCGTGTGGTGCTTTATTTTTAGCATTCTTATACATCCTGATACCTGCTTAACGATGGGCAGAAACGCCGCAAAACAGTAACCCCGCATTCAATTGTAGGTGCGCCATTTGGTGTGTAGGGATGTGCACCCTACACCCGCTCCCTCTCCCATCTCCTCCTCCTCCTCCTCCATTTCGATTTCCTACCCCCACGTAACGCACAGGTCAGATTAAAATTCCCAACACACCCGCGAATCATCCTCCCTTCCACGCACCCTCCACAGCCACACATCTCGCTTCCTGATGCTGTACGTCGTGACGAGTCCCGTGCTACTGTGGCCCAGTACCGGCTGGTTGACTCCCCTGGTGGCGGGAGTGATTGCGTTTCTGCTGCTAGGGGTCGAGAACATTGGAGTGCAGGTCGAGGAGCCTTTTCATGTACTGCCACTGTACGACATTTGCAGGTACGGTTGTACGGATGCACGGGTGTATGGATGTACGAGATATACACGAAGGGGGGCCCTTGGGGCCGCTTTGCGGGAGGGGGGGACGGGCATGCCTTTGGGTTTCGCTCGGGCCGCCGGCTGGCGGGGGGGCCACCCTTCCCGGACTCTTGGGGTGCAGGTTGAGAATCTTTCGAGGACGTGGAGTTGGGGGGAAAAGAGAAAATCCTCGCATGGGGGGGAGAGAGCGATTCCCACTCCGGCAGGTCACAGGTGGCGGCGAGCTAGGAAACAATGTATTTGGACCACAAACCGTGTTTTGATGCGGTGTATTTGCCGTACTGTCGTACGGTACGGTTGCCACCAGGGCGCTCGAGGCCAACATAAAGGAGCTGCAGGCGGCTTTTGACGGGCGGCCGGGGGGGGGGCCTGGCGGCGACGGTGAAGGCGGTGACGGCGGCGAAGGGTTTCCTAATGCAGCGGAACTGGCTGTCCGAGTCCATCCCCCAGCGGGCAACGCGGCGGGGGGTCCTAGGGCGAGGCGAAGGGGAGGAGAAGGAGGAGGGGCCTCCGGAGATCAGCATGAACAGAACGGAGGTTCCGCCACCTCGCTGCGCAACAATACGGCAGTAGCAGCAACAGGAGCAGCAGCAGCAGCAGCAGCGACGGCAATGGCAACGGCGGTGTAAACCCAGCAGCAGTGGCAGCAATGGCGGCGATGGTTTTAGCAATTTGACGACAATGAGATCACGTTAAGTGGGCTACAGGTACTACAGCTACTACAGGGGCCCCGTTAGCTGCAGGCGTACGTATCCTGCTGCAATCGACTGGAGATTCCTTGATTGGTTGAGTGCGTGGGCGGGTGAAGGTGGATGGGCTCGTGAGGTTGGTAACATTGGGGGCCATTGGGGATTTTCCTTTTCATTCTCTGCTCTCCTACACCCTACACTCACACTCACACTCACACTCACACGTAAGACGTAAGCACCACACGACGGACTTCATAAACCTCCGAGTGGTGCTGGTGTTCGCAGCGGGGCCGCGGATACTAAGTACACCTGCACATATGTCGGGAAGTGCGCTTTACCACGTACAAGGCAATATATAATGTATAAATGATATATTCCTTCATTGTATGTGTGCCGTACTGTACGACAGCTACTGGGTATAGTCCCTTATGGAAATGACCACTACGTGAACACCACGTGCGCGATGCGCACTTGCTTACGTGGGGCTCGGCGACGGTGCGCGGACACCTTGCCGACCTGTGTGGCGGCTGCGCTGCTGGGGTGGTGGTTGTTGTTGTTGGTGGTGGTGTTATGGCTATAGCACGCGTTCATTTCTTCATGATGCCTTTATTCTTCGTTAGCAGCGAGCGGAAACAGTGTGGGGTGCGAGGGGGGCGTTACGTCACGAAATGGGCTCCTACTGGCCTTCGTCCTCTTGCGGGGGACATACACACACACAGGCAGTTGTGCTGAATAGTCAGTAGTGAGTGTATAAGTCGCGCATGAGGGTACGTCCCGTTCCAGCTCCTGAACATGCAAATAGCTTTTATAGTACTATTGATATCTGATTATTGCTACCGTAATTGGGGTGTACTTCACTTCTCAGGAAAAAACACATGACCCAGGCAGTCCCGGGCATTATCTTGTTCCTGCGGTGGCATGGCGGCGGCGCGTGGACGGCTGTGGTCATGGTGATGGTGGTGCGGCATCTATATATTATATCCAGTCCCAGTCACACCGGGCTCTGCTCCGTAGAGCGGGGCCGCTATGTGCCCCGCGGTTTCGCGAATTTACATTTGAATTTAAGCACCGTATGTGTGTACGTGTGTGTTTATGGTGCGGGTGTGCGGGGTTAACGATTTCCTCCAATGTCGTCGCCGCTGCATCTCACGTCCCGGATCTTTCCGAACTAGCAGGAAATTCTACATGTTAGGGATTTCAGAGGTCCAGAGGCCGGAGGCCAATCATACATCCTGCTTATTCGAGCCCCACCCGACATTTCCCGTGGTATTAGATACGGTCAGGGCCACTGCGCGAGGACGTTGAGGATGTAGCGCATACAGACACACACGCATTCACACACACACACAGACACACACGCATTCACACACACACACACACACGCATTCACACACACACACACACTCTCTCTCACACACACTCTTCGACCTTTTCGCCTCTTCGAGTGGGGTCATTTCAGAGCCCCGTATCGCTGGAATCTGCTAAAACGGAAACAAAACGCCCTTATCCCCCGGGGATAAAATTG